GTGAATATTATATTATAAAAGGCTTAGAAACCTATCACAGAAAGCAGGCATGTCGATCATGCAGCCTATTCGATACCCTACACTTTTCACCGCATAAGAAAATTTAGAAATTTCCGAAACGTGGATGGATATCTTGTAGAACATTTTGAAAAGCAATCCCCTCTCTAGAATTCACATAAGCTAGTACAGCCATTGGCACATAATCATTTTTAATCGTGACAATACAATAAAAACATTTCTAAAGATACAGTTTAATCAAATCAGGACTAAATTGAAATAAAAATTTTGGAAAAAGAATTTTAATTTTAATTAATTCTATTAGTAGGCGTTTTTTTTATTTCACTACCCTACACAGAAACAAGGTGTGCTAAGTTTGTAGGAATGTACCCAATACTCAGAAGAACTTGAGATCGATCGACTTTTTGTTATACCGAGCTAAGTGCGTCTGTCCGTCTTGTTCCTTATTTTCAAACTACACTACCAACACTAATTGTTGACATATTTTGATGAAATTTGTTGCACTGACGTGCTGTGCCTCAACGACGAACGGTATTGAAAATCGTTCGGATCGGACCACTTTTTCGAACACTTCCCATGTGAGAGCTTATTTTGGAAAACCGTTATATGAATAACTGAATTAAGCGAAGCGGTGTAGGGTATTTAATGGTGATTTGCCAACCAATATTAAACATAAATGTCAATTTTGGTGGGAAAAAAGAGAGTAAATATAGTTGAAGGTATTATTTTGATTACCCGTAGCGATAGACCTTTAGATAAGGGCATAAGGATAAGACTTAAAAAAGAAAAAGAGAACTTGAGGTGAACTCCATTGATGACTGTACACACCGTCCCTGGATAGTAAGCGTTGGTTAGTTGAATTTTATGGAAAACAAAGCAGAAAGTGCCCTTAATTAGCTTAGACAGCGAAACTAAAAAAAAGAAGGAAGTGAAGTTTGCCGTTAATTACAATTGATGGATTCAGGTTTGTATTGGCGAGTCCCGCTCCTAACAAATTGCTCTAATTTAATAAGTAAAACCAGATACTTAACCTCGAAAAAGAAGAAAAAATCGAAATATATATAAATAAACAGGAAATGAAACTTCATCTTAATGTCGTCTCTTCTTCGAGTTATTTTAATCCGAAGCACATACCTACTTGCTTTGCATGTTAACATATATCTATCTGTATATCTAAAGACATCTGTCATTTGACAGCGTACAGAGGACTAATTGAACTTGTTTTTAGCTTGCAATGAAATCAAATGTTTCAACAAATGCTTGCATTTCGCATTTGCATTTGTATTTGTAGGTTAGAAAAATGCTTGAGAAAATCCATTCACTTAACTTCATTACAACATGTACATATTATATGTATGTATGTACGTGGAAAGAAAGAGGAATTAGATTTACTTTATCTAAAATGTTTAATGGCCGTTTTTAGCGGCTAAGAAGCGATATATTTAGAGAGTTAAAGGAATTGCAAAGGCTTACAACTGCTGCTGTTACTGTTGCTGTTTCTGTTGCTATTTGCTGCTGCTCGATGCGTAGATTAAAGATAAATCATTTCAATTGGAAAGATGTACGAACAATTTAAACAACAAGTATGCTTACATACATATATACATATATCCATACATACGTAATATGACTGCATCTTAAATATATTTCGCGATGCACGCACGCGTGCATATTTGTGACAAAGATGCATTTTGAGCGATTGCTGGTTAAAGTTGTTTGGAGGCTGTTTTGCGCGGGGACTTTGCTCAGTTGCGAGCTTGAGGTTATATATTTAAAATGAAAATATTAAGCAATATATGCATGAAGCATGCAATTGGTCAATATGTTGCCACGATTGCAGCTATTAATGCCGTATTGCAAAAGCAACTGCATGACGATCACAAAACTTGACCATTCCAGTAAATGTGGTGCAACTATTAACTAACTGAGAGAAATATTGTGGAAAATGTAAAAGAAAATAAAAATCTCTGGTAAAGTGCTTCGAAATGGATAGCACTTTGAAAGATATGTTTGACCGTAAATTTGTTGTGTGTTGTGTGTTGTAGGTGAAAATATATATTTCCTAAATAATATCTTAAAATGTGTAAAACACGATTTTTATGCAACGTTATCTGGTGGTCATTCAAACATTTAAGCAAACACTTAAACACACAAAAAACACATCTCATACCTATTTACTTACTTAAACGCACACTTACTTAGGCGCCTTCGTCATCATTTGAAAGGCAAATGCTGTTATCGAAATCATTTCATTTTGGCGAACTTGCTGCTCTTTACCATGCATTACGGAAATCGTGCTAAATTATGCGTTATGTGTTCACCCTTGATTGGCTTTATTAGGATTTGATTTATAGTTTCAAGTTTTGTGCATAAATATTTCATTTTCTTCGTCGCTTTTATTCAATAATAATATTTATTAAATCATTTCGCATTAAACTGAGAAAAATTGCACAGTCGAGGCATAGCGGGCTGTCCCAAAGATATGACAAATGATTTACTATAAAAATTAAGAGATTTTTCGTTTTTATTTTTTTTTATTTTTTCTTTATTTCATTATGTGAATAAAACATTTATTCAAATTTCGTCACCAGTAACGAATGACGTTGCAATAAATTTTTATGGCCACAAGCACGTGATGAACCTTCATTGACGTGGAATAATTTGTTATTTCAATGTGTTGCAATGATTCCTTAAGTGATTCATTCAACGTTCACACGAAATTCTCTTAACAATTCTAATATGATTAATAATAGGGTACACAAAGGTAAAAGTACGTAAAATATCTTGAGTTATCTTATCACTTATCTTCGCGATGATTAGTAAGCCAGGGTTTTGTAGATCAGTCACAGACATTGAGATATGCGATGTAAGTGCCATAAATTTGAATTTAACCTGAGTCTAATTACAAGTGAATGTTAGTTGCGAATGATAACAATTTAGTTAATAATAATTTAACCCCACCTCTCACAAAGCCATATTGCCTAAGCGAACCAAAAAGCAGAGCAAAAAAGAGTACATTAATATGCTTTACTAGTGGGAAGAATCCTAAGGCATCTTATCGACTAATCGATTAGTCGAAGTCCTTTTCACTGACTGGCTCGGTGGTCAGGACGATCATATCCAATATCCTACCGGTGAATAGGGTGCAATGTTCCTCAAATTTCTCTTGTGCTGATACCTGCGCTTACCCTAATGCAGGGCGTAATGTAAACACCTAGCGGTTTGTATTTGAAATGAAAACAAGTTCAACTCTACTTGCTGATGTATTAACATCTTCATCTTCATCTTCATCTTCATCTTCATCTTCATCTTGAGCTTAGCAAGTTTATTTAGAAAACATGGAAACATTAATTGCTCTACGTAATTATATGTAAAGTATATATAAATACAAGAAAATACTAACCTTTCCGAGTAGAGTTGTGTGAGAGTACCTACGATTAAGACAACGGTATTTTGAAAGGTTCGAAGGTCACATTAATTTATGTGGAATGCAGTGCAAAAACGCACACATGTGAGATACAATCGAAATTTAAATCAAAACTAACCGTCCGGTAGCATTCAAACTCTATAATTGAACTAAAAATCTAATTGATTTAAATCTCACAGTCATCATCAGATTTGATTTTTGTTGTTTTCTTCTTTACTTTTTTGGTTTTGATGAAAAACAATTACTTTTAAATGAAAAAATCATCTGCTGTTGAGTAACAGTGCAACATTTGGTCAGAACAAATGTTATGTTTTAATAATGAGCGCCGATGCTGCCGCTGATGATAAATGCAAAGTGAACCTTTTAAGAAAAACTTGAACAAAAACAAAACGCAAAGATTAAGAAAAAAAAAATAAGAGCGATCTCGTCTCTAGACTTGCAATGAACTTTGCTCACCCTATCTATCTGCGATTGGTAAAAATGGCGTTTGCGAAAACTACTTGAATCTATCGTCAATTTGCTACACAATTATGGGCGCAATGCTAAGAATCTGTTGCGGCTAAGTGCAAGAGTTACAACTTATTTGAAACACTTGCAACTATCTGTGACGGTATCATTTTTCTTAAAAAATCACAAAAGAAAAACAAAATCAGTGCACAATTTTGCAAAAAAAAAAAAACGCTTTTGAAGATCACCTTGAACATCATAACAAAAAAAAAAAAAAAAAGAAAAAAGCAAAGAGCACAGAAAACTTAAAAACATCGTGAAAAATTGCAGATAGAGAGCAACGCGTTAACAGAGCTGATCCGTAGTCTGCTCCGGTCTTAGGTCTGGCAGAGTTAATGAAAACGAAAGTAATAGCATATGGTTTCCACTATCATGCGATCCACAAAATACTTACTTACCTTAGTTATTGTACAACATAAGCATAGCATAGCTGGCGGCAGATGTCTGCTTCGTGGTGGTGGTATATGCAATGCAACAACAACAACGCGAACAACGTGCTGTTAAGTGCAGTAGCACAAAAATGTGTTGCTCACTCTGCATCCATACACATTTACACATACACGCGCATACACGAAGATACATACATACATGCATACATACATACATACATACATTGATATATAGAAAACAACGGACAACATCAGATCGACAGCAAGCAAACGAACAGACAATCAACAAAATTATACCGTAACTGAACAACAGATACTCTGACTCCACGCACGAATTCAACGATAAAGTAAATTGGATCTGTTCACCATTGTTGTTGCTTCTTCACATAAGCTTTGGTGGCTTCGTTCCGTGAGCGTTGGTTTCGTTTTGGTGGGCTTTAGCGAATTTTTTTTTCTTTTAAGCGAATTTTGTCTTTTCGTTTGTTGGTTTTGTTTTTTTTTTTTTATTTTTATTTTTTTTGGCAATTGACGCTTGAAAAAATATCCACAAAAGCTACAAGACGTTCAAGTTGCCACAGCTATAAAAGAAACTGATGGACTTACCAGCAGTTACAGACAGATATAGAGTGTTGAGCAAACAGTACAAGAAATTGTTTAGTAGAGAGTGTGTGTGCGTGTTTGTGTATAGTGCAAGCTTACCTGAAACGAAGTGTGAAAAGTGAAAAAATATCCTTTAGAAAATCAATTTACGAAATATTAAAAGAAATAAAAATGAAGCGGTCTTATGTGGTATGTGTGTTAAAGTGTAATAAAAATAATTTAATTAAATAAACATTAGAAAAAAAAATAATACTTTTTTTTCGTATATCTCTCATAAGAAAATCTTATGAAAATTTGAAATTTTTAATTAATAAACATCATTTCTTGAGTTATTGAACTCGCGAAGCGTGTTCTAAGAAAGAGGCCAACACTGAAAAATCTTCATATTCTTTGTCACACAATTAGGTTTTCGTAGTTTTGGTAGCAGCAGGTGGAGCTGCTGCTCGTCCAGAACCACCTTCTAGCAGTTATTCCGCGCCAAATGTACCCAGTGGCAGCTATGGTGCCCCTCCACCCGTTTATGGGCCACCACAACAGCCGCCTGTCATACATAAGCATGTGTACGTCCATGTGCCACCGCCAGAACCCGAATATTTGCCGCCCAGGTAAGTTACTTAATTACTCTTATCATTCAATTAAAGAAAAGAAGAAGAAGAAGATAAATTTATGGGTGGAAAACCATTAATGGGAAGTGACGTAAATGATAAATAATTTTCAAATAACTCATTTGGGTCTTAAAAGCTTCTTGCCCTCTTCTTTCTCTTCTTCTTCTTGTATAAAAGTGTAAAAAAACAGCGAGCAAAAGCTCTTAGACCGTTATAGCACAACACAGCCAATTTTTACAAGAAGAAGTTGCTTAACGGTAAATTTTTATTTTATCATATCTACAGTAGTTTTGTTTAGAAGGAAAATAATTTTTGTATAATGCCAAGTGCTGTACGAATTGGACTCATGACAGGGAAAGTGTATCGAATTTTGTGACAGGGAGCAACTACCTTTAATTATTATAGGCAGACTACAGTCTCTTTAGAATTAATTAATTAATTTTCAATAATTCTTTTTTTCTATTGAAAGTGTTAAAGCGCATCTCATGACTTTTTACCCATACAAATGTACTTATTTATTTACTTATACATATATAATCTTGACGTCACGATTGAGGGGTCTTCTATGGACAATATCTACTCATTGGATGTCACACTAAAGGACACTAAAGTGTAATAATATGAGGTTATTAGCACAGTATTTAACAACAATGCAAGGACTAAAATAAATTAACCAAAGACGGTTATAACAGCGTGCATTAAAAAAAGAGGAGAGGCTAGAAATAACAGGGACAATCTCGGTGCTAAATATTTCACTAACCTCATTATTAACTTATGCAACTAATAAGGACATTTAAAGTATTGTGGGTCTCCCGGCATGGATATGCAAACTTTACCAGAACTAATCAGGCTCGAGGCAATTGTTTATTACAATCAAATCTGCTAAGGAAGTAGACCACAAGTTGAACCTTTGGTTCTTTTCTTTACATAATTGATTTATCGCAATTGAAAAGAATCTTTGAAGAAGAAGACGACTTAATATAATATCTGGCTCTATTCCCTCAAGGAGAATATATTCTTAATTACTTAGGTAAGCGGTAATCTAAGTTTACCAATATTTTATATTCCGGCAGAACTGCAGACTACAAAGACCTAATTAAGTTTTTAATCCCTTCCATATGAATTTAAGCGGTGATCATCCAGATCTTTAAGGAACAGACTTTTCTAAATAAGAGAGCTCAGAGACTTCACTTAGGAGCCTAAGTACGACTTACCATCATGGATAAAGAAAATAAGAAAATTTGACGAACCTTATGGAAAATAGAAATACATAGTTTCTTGTACCGGCGTTCAGACCAATAAATGTTCGTCTTTCGGTCTAAGCGAGGAATAAATCCCTGAAGTGTTAATTTCTTTTTACTCCTTCCGTGACGCCCAAGGTTTCAATAGCAAAAGATTGCGGATGAGAGAAAGGTAGAGGGATTTTTCGAAGTTCATTTTGATCCAGACATAAGTTGCGGAAACCTTAATGTGTTGTTTCGTACGCACACTCTTTTACTTTTTCCGTATAAATCACATTTCCTAATTGTTCTATACTGGATACTGGTCGTGAACTCTGACATTAAATCATTTTATTTTACGTTAACAACATTGTTTAGCATCTGTGCAAGAAAAGATGTTGCTTTAGAAAATTTAACGTCACCTTCCTCTTCTTTCGCTCTATCAATTTATGCGTACAAGATGCTCTCTAGACTTGTTCATAACAATAGCGCAAAAACTATAGAACTAAACTCTGTATATTCTATAATATATAAAATTATTAGTTAATAAATTTGCTAGAAGCTAAACACGTACGCGATTTCATTGCACTCGCATTTAAAGTGGCGTGCATGAGAGGGGCATGTCTCGAGGGAAATGCTGACCAGTAGACGATGATAGAGAATGAACTCTTAGTTTATTAATTAATTTGGGGAAAGAACAATGAATTTGTTGTTTTATCGACTCTATGCATAACGTTGAAATTGATTGTAACGATATTCCACTCGAATCCCAAAAAGTTGTTCATTTCAAAGTTTGTGTTCCAAAAAAGTAAAGAGTCAGAAAGACAAACAGAAACAGAAACAGAGACAGATATGTGTTGCTCATGAATTCTTGACCTTGAGTACTAAACATATTTCCGTTATCGAATATTTCTTTACTTATTTTTAATGTCAAAGTTGGTCACGGTTTTAAAATTTTTCAAGGACGAATGAAATCATTGATAACATTAAGTTTAGTACATTGTGTTTGCACATGTTGTAAGCGTGACGTTGGTTTATTCTGTGCAGAGATTAGGAAATGAGAAAATATCTAAAAATCTTTGGCTATTTCGAGATTTTTATCTAAAGAGAAAATGAGAAAATGCTTATTAGGTTCTCTTATTTCCCATAAACGTCAGCGTTTTAAAACTAAAATGATACTTGAAAAGTGACGATACTAGCCCAGTAGAAAAGTTTGTAGATGAAAAGCACATGAGAAGAAACATTAAAAAATTCGTTAATAATTGCTAATCCGTTAGTCATTAATAATTGAAACAATTAAAAATGTTCACACTTTAAAAAGTAATTGGAAATTGTTCAATAATTAATTAAATAATTATGACAGACATACAGACAATCTAATTCTTTTTTCCGACGATAGGATCATCATAGAAAATATAAAAGGATCGATATTTTCTCTACTAGCGAAGCCTGTGATCTAGCGATATACAAGTAGGGCTAAAGGGAGTGAGAGACATACGGTGTGAGCAGCTTTTCTCCACCGCCTTTGTAGAATCTGTGGCGAAATAGTTTTTATCGGAAAAATTCTGATCTATCTGTTAATGTCAGCATGGCCTCTGAGAGTAGTCCTACGGGAACAGCTCCAGCATGATGGTGGTTGTTCTCGTACTCAAGTGCGCCTTCCGCACCAAACTTGACCGTGAAATTACTATGCAAGTACAGGTTTTATCTAAAGTAAAATGGAGGCCTGCCTGATGGGGGACTCTCTGAGTATAAGCACGGTGGTAATTAGTAAGGATTGGATAGAGCGGGAACAGAAAACGCGGTAATATACGTTTTATACGTTCTGAAACAGGGAGAAAGCCCCATTGACCCTTGTGATGGTTAGTGCTAATGATCTGAAACCCACGGTACAGCGTTGGGAACGTTGGACGACACAAACTCATCCCATGTGCCATCGAGCATTGTGCTATTAAGCCTTTATAGAGAGGGGTGGCGGGAGGGTAATCACGTTAAGCTCCTACAAACATCTGTTCACTACGAATAAAAACTTGTAATACATCGGTCAATAAGTTTGTAGGATGATATAGAGATATTTCCATTATCGCCGAATCGATATGATTACGTTACATAATTTGTTGAGGGTACGACCCGCATGCAGCTGCTAAATGCAGCCCCTATGGCATCTATAAAGAAAAATCCAAAGAATTTATTTAAAAGGGAAGCCAAGAGGATGATGAGAGAAAAAAGATTCAATAAGAAAAAATGTCTTGAGTGAAACGACGTAACTCCCCCTCTTGTTTTGTTTTCAAGTAAAGCTTGTTTATGCAAACTGTCCCCACATTTATTACGAAACTTTGTTATATGGGAAATTCGTTCGGACAACTCTCCTCAATATGTGTGTCGTGTTACACAATCTACAAAATTAGCATTCATAAGTCAAACGGCAGACAATATGCTTAAGAAAGATTAGAAAAAATATATATAAAGGAAAAAAAAAACTATGTCAACTTGACGGCAGGCAAATAAATTATATAAAGAATTTTTGTATTGCATTACAATAAATTACAACACAATACAATAACAATAAAATAGCGAAATAACAAAAAAAAAAAAAAAAAACGATAATAAAACAATAGCAAGACAGTGATTTGTGAAAAAAAAAAAATGTACGAAAAAGCTAAATAAATATTTACACAAGAAACAATTATTAATATGAAATTGCAAAGGAAAAATTTATTTATGATTTCCGCGCCAATTGATTGATGACGGCGATGAGAGAGAATTACACTAATACGCTAAATACATGCACAAATACTGAGCAAATTTATAAAAATCAGGGGAACTTTTAAATCAACACTTAAGTGAATGACGCTTTATTGGCACAAATCTTTTTATATTCACTTTTTTATTTCTTTTTCAGTTTTTTTTTTTTTTTTTGTTTTCTTTCTTTTTTCTACGTTGAAAAGTTTATTAGCACGAACTAAAACAACAATATTAATATATATAAAAAAAAAAAACCAAAAAAAGAAAAAAAACTGATAAAGACTACTATAGCGCACTTATGAACACGTTTTGCATTAATAAATCATAAACCGTTAGTTTATAATATAAAGTACATTTTATTTACATATACACTGCACTAAAGACGCAATGTAACGATGATCGGTGCTTTGTTGTTTGAAATTGTTGCGATCGCATGCAATTGTGTGATGTATGCTTAGAGTGCACCTTTGCAGCATATATATATAGCACACATATGCACACAAGAGAAAGAGAGAGACAGAGAGATGGTATGGGATTTGTACACATATAATAATGCAATTACCACACACAACTAATTGGCAATAAACTCATCAATAGTTTAATAAGTTATTAATCGATTTCTTTTACTTCTTTTTTTTTTTTTTTTTTTTTCAGTTTCTGCCTTAATAGTAAAATAGAGAAAAAGGAGAAAAAAGTAAAAATGAACAAAGTGTACAAAGAGTACATTTTAAAGGTGAACATTATCATTGCATACAATATTTTATTGGGTGTCCATTCACTCGAGAAATTTTCTCTATAGAAGCAATATTTAGAAAGAATCGTATGTAGAGGAGGGTAAAAAAAAATTGCCTGTACTTGATTTTGTGATTTTAGATTAGATGGAACCAATCAACAATCTGTCATAAATGCATACGTCCATCCGTCCTTGTCGGATTTCCTCATAAACTCTTATTATTATGAATGCGTATTTGGCATAATAATGTGCGAAAGCATTTTTGTGATATTTTGTTAATACGTTTCATTACAACCTAATTT